ATCTATCTATCTATCTATCTATCTATCTATCTATCTATCTATCTATCTATCTATCTATCTATCTATCTATCTATCTATCTATCTATCTGTCTGATCTTACTTATAACACACTTCACTTCATGACGGCTGACAGTTGTGTGGCTTCCCAGCAGCAGTCCTGCATGTCCCTCTCCATGGTACTGAAATCCCTGATGTGGTTGGCTGGGCCGACCATCTGGACAGGACACAACAGTGTGTGTGTCTCTTTCTCTATATATGTCTATAAGTGTGTGTTATTCATAAGATTTTTTCTTCTTATGAATTGACTAATACCCCGATTTGTGCTTCCCCAGAACACAGACAGATTAGAGCTCGGGAAGCTATATTTAAATCATTTTCGTGATCCAAATTTAAGGCTGTCCTCTCTCAAATTGAAAAAGTGTAACATTTTGTCATCTTGTACTTCCATAGAATATAAATTGGTTTGTGCAAGTAATTGATTTTAATCAGTCTTTAATCTACATCTATCATGCTACAATTTAAATCCTCAACCTTATTTTATTTTCTCTTTGTCACAACAATTAATTCCTGTCTGTAGAGTGATTAACAATTAATTAGGGTATTCTGAGTGTCACCATCATTATTAATATATTAGGTACTGCAGATCAACTAATTAAAATCTCAAATTAATTAGGACCTAAACAAAAGGACACATAAATAGATCACTAGAACGGTTGTTATTCTTGCCTGTGTACATACTTCTGCTCTGTTCGAAGTTAAACTCCAGCTTGCAGCACGTAGCATTTATCTCTGAGCTTTGCTCTCCGACCTTTAATCAAGTCTAGCTCCCTGACTATCTTTACATTACTTTCTATAAATAGATCTTTTTTTTTTTTTTTTTTTTTTTACAGTGTATGCTGTTGGCTAGGCCTGGTGTGTCCCCTTAGTCATGAAACCTTGTCAAGATTAATTGCTGTTGTAGAAATGGTTCACTCTTCTTCTCTCTCCTGGGTATAAAAATAGACCAGTGCCGTATATATACACACATACAAGATCACACACACAGGTCCTCCCCTGACTCCTCATTAGGAACTGCAACAGAACAGACAGGGAAGGATTTCAGGGTTGCACACACTCCTCCTCTCACACTGGTGCAGCGGTTGATTTGTTCCCTCTGTCTGCTCCTCTTCCTATGGCCCCAGGGATGAATATCTATAGAAGGGGACTCTATTGTCTGGACTTTATCCACTGAGGCACAGGAGGCCGAGGAGCCTCAAGGTTGAATGCATTATGGGGTTTTCAGTACACAAAACCAAACAGACTGCCAATCACTGACTCCATATTATTTCCATTCTGAGGAAATGGTATTAAACTTTAATCTTCTGCACTGTTCTTCACATGTTATCTGGTCTGAATAACTGTGTTATGTTTGCCAATTAGGACACAGATACAGGGCCTCTGCAAATCCATCACTATAATGATACAGCAAGCAGTATTGTCTGTGACTTTAGCCTGAAAAATACAGAGCTATCATAGTGTTATTTTTAGCCCACCAGAAACTACAGTGCAACAGCATCAGGAGGGCCAGAGCATACTGTGCTCCGTTATGTGTGAATGCTCAGCCTCAGTCGTCAGTGTCACTCACTGTGATTTCCTTTAAAATGTAGGCAGATGGAGCGGGCGGACTTTGAGGAGCATGGCTCAGCCCGTGAAGGAGGGTTGTTATGAAACCATCTGCCTCTCGTTACGCATCCAAGACCCACCGATTCTCAGTGGATGAGTTGCTGCTGAATCACTGCCTGCAACTGGGACAGGCCTTCTGTCTGTTTGTCCGTTGCTGTGTGGGTCTGCCTTCTTGTCAGTTGGCATGTTTATCAGGCTTAAATATTGGATAAAAGTTGAGTAGAGTGCTTGGCTTTACCTCTTAAAACAAGTATTTCCTGATTTAAGTCACACTTTTTTATTTAAAGCCCCAGTGTGTAACATTTAGGACGATCTGGGACGGCAGAAATTAATATAATATTCATGAGTGTGTTTTCATTAGTGTGTAATCCCAGAAAATAAGAATCATTAAGTTTTCGTTACCTTAGAATGAGCTGTTTTATCTACAGAGGGAGCGAATCCTCTTCTACGGAGTCCGCCATGTTGAACAGTCATGTTTCTACAGTAGCCCAGAATGGACAAACCAAACACTGGCTCTAGATAGGGCCTTTTGTTCCAGGGCCATCATAGTTTCTCCTTCTCTGTCCAAAGAGAAAACGTTCTGCCTCACTAATTAACACTTTATATCTTGTTTGTTTAATGTACAAAAACTAAAGTGTAAAAAAGTATAAATGGTTTTACAGTTTTATGCGTGCTAGACTATTTCTTGCCAGTAACTTCCTGAAGTCTCTCCTAGTTGCCTTGCAAGCTCACTTCAGGAAGTGTCATTCTTCTCATGTAAATCTCAGCAAGAAAGCGTCCTAACATGTTCAACTATTGCTTTAAGACATAACAATTATGCATTGTTTAGTTTGTCATAAATTTTAAAAAAGCAAAATGTAACAAGATGTTTATAATCCTCAAAATAAGTTACCAAAAAAGTAATTTTAGCATCCAAACATTTCAAGCAACCTTTATCTTTTGAACTGGCCCACAGCACAGCATAGTTTTCAACATCTAAACTGTCGCATTTTACTTCATGATACTAGAAGTCCAACAGCAGGACTCTGTGGGTCCAGATTTTTTGTCCATCCTCCTGCAGGGCCCAGCTGTTGCTGTGAGGCCCGCTTGGACATTGGCAGCCTCTCGTTTGGAGCAAGAATGCGAGCTCATTCAGTCACAGTGCGCTTAGAATTAATCAGCTGTTTTGTTCCAGAGGCCCTCCCTCTTAATCATTCACTACAATCACACTGTGCCTCCCTGGAGAGCCAGAGAGGGCACAAGGGCGAGTGAACAAGAGAGTGTGAACATAAAAGAGATGCGGTGAGAGACTGAGAGGGAAAATGAGAATAATAATACAGTATTTTTTTTTTTTTTTGCATTCAAGTGCATTGAGTGTTTTCTAGTCCTTTAGGACAGTTTTTGTGGTTGAATGGTTAAATGTTCTGTGTATTTACAGCCGTTTCACTGGATGGATTATTACTGGCACTTATTCATATGCTAACTGTTACATTTGCAATTCACAGGGAAAACAAAAGTGTCTATTGAATGGGAATACATCTGTCTAAAAAGGGAATCAGTGCCTTTCTGAATGAATAGTACCATATATACAGCATGTATATAATATGTGAGTTTATATTTGATGGAGTCATTCTGCAATTCTTATGACAGTGATGACAGTGACTGGATGTGTTGTTTAACCAGCATTTACTGGTTGCTCTGCTGGCTGGTGATGAGTATTCAAACAACAGGTCTGATGTGACAGAGGGAGGTGGTCAATAAAGCTAATTAGGGGACGTTCAAATATCTCTCCCGTTAAATTGGCTCTTCTCATTCACTCACACGCAACTGCACTCCAATTTATTCAGCAACAACACAGCGGCGTGAGCTCGTGACTTATCATTCAGTCATAGATTTAGTTTTTTTTTTATGCAGACGAAGTGTTTGTACAGCTGCTTCTGTTGAAACTGTAGTATTACATTTTGGGAAATGTACACAACAAATACCTCATTCATTAACACTATTCCTCATTTGTCCAATCTGTACAAAACAGAAAGTTGTGGTTTTACAGGGGGTCATAGTGGTTAAACATCCACAAGACAACCCCTCCTCTCTGTGCCGGTGCTATATATACTCATATATAGATATGCACTAAAGTGGATTTCTGACTGTAATAAACTGCCCCTGTCTGACAATAGGACCTCTGCGTACTGCACGCTGCTTCACCTGTTAGCTCATGAATCAAAAGTAAATACAAAAATGAAAAATGACCAGGAAGAATAGACAGCTACTCAGTGGAGCTCACATCCTCTCCAAATAATTTATGCTTGTACTTTATAAATGATTCATCTCGAACAGAGAAAATGTTGTTATTATGTTGAGGTGGGATTGGGAAGACTCTTTGTGAATTATTAATACTCTAGGCCAAAATATACGGCTCCCTTAAGATTTAGGCTGCATTGGTCGGGTAACTCTGTCCAGGAACTGCGGAAGTCGTGATGGCTGTAATAACTATACATGCTGTATTGTTTACAGTTTCATGTGGCAATTGTAAACCATAAAGTATTTTTCAGAGGAAGCAGTATTGATCCATTGTCTCTCACAGAGGCCACCGCGGGGCAACATACCTATTTTTCCTGCTGATCTGCAGAGAAAGTGAAGAATGGTTCATAGTATTTATCGAACCACTAAGGCAGCTGCTGCATGTGTGTTGTGGAGTGTGCAGTCATGAAATTCTGTCTACATTCAGGACAACCTTGTCAGGAAAATGGTGCAGGATTGCACGTTCATACAATATAAATGATATGTTATTCCCTCTAACCTTGCTCGAAGTAACTGTATATCTCTGAATTTCACTTTGGCAACTGAGCGTTTGTGTACTTGTGCTACAGTAGGTCCAGCATGGAAGGCCTGTTCTGCTGTTGATGCGTGCTTTGATTTTCTCAATCAAGCCTCGGCTCCTTTATCATGACAAGTCAGCTCTCGGTGCCGTGAAAACCTGTGTCAGGAAAATGGGAACAGTGTGTCTATTGATCACTGTGAAACATCATCTGCACATAGACAGAAAGCAGGTATCCTTGAGGGACAGGCCCTGCAAGTCTGCTGTCAGTGCTGTCGGTGGTCAAAAGTACAGCAGGAGCACGCCTAGTGGCCATGACTGTTAAAGATTTACTCTCCATGCCAGTGGGTGCAAATCCCTCAAATGGATTAGGATGTTGATGTTATGACAGGATTTTTATCAGTGTCACTTAAATTTTTACTTTGCAAAACGTGGCATGCTGGTCGTTTAATTCTTCGTTTTATTATTTTTATTGTTACTATTGCATTGCTTTTACTCTGCTCCCCATCCTCTGACCATCCATCCTTTTCTCCCTCTGCAGGCATTTGGCCAGGCTTACACCAACCAGCGTAAGGTGGCAGAGGATGGGGAGACCAACGAGGAGACGTTGCTACAAGAGTCAGCCTGTAAGGAGGCCTACTACATGGGCCGTCTGTTGGAGCTTCAGACGGAGGTGACACTAAGCCGCTCTGTGGCGTCCAACGCCCAGGCTGAGAACGAGAGGCTCAACACGCTCGTGCAGGAGCTACGAGAGGTGAGCTGGATGACAGTTACAGATTCCGCACCCTATACAGACAGGTTCATGCTACACAAGGAAAACACAGAAAATCAATCAAATTATATATGTGAGGAAATAGCTAGATATACACTCATTTTAGTAGTACCATAAAATTCTCTCAAATACATTTTTTGTTGTATTAATTAAGATGTTTCTGCATAAATACAGTAATACAGTAAAATTGTAAAATCACTCTGGAAGACTTACACTAAAATGGAAAAATGTATTATTGTATACATTTTCTGAATAGGATATTAATTTTGAATATGTTTCAGGATTGTTTCAGTAGTGAATTATAGAAATGTTTGTTTTAGAATTTACTGTACATTTATGATGTGGAAAATGGGCTGTAGTTGCATCGAAGTTTAGTGGTGTTTGGGTTTGAGTAAAAAAAAAAAAATCTCTTCAATTTACTTGGTGTGGTCACTGAAAGCATATTGCATCCAATAAATAAAATTAGAATCTTGAACTTCATCCATGGTTGTGCTAACTTTGGGAAAAGTTTTGAAAAAAGTTGTAGAGAAAAGTACAAACTGTTAAAAGAATCTGTAAGTTAAGATTTTATTCATTATTCTGATTTCTTGCACTTTAAGCAGACTTTTATCCACATTGTGTTTTGCCTTATAAATATATATATAAATTTAACTTACATGACATAAGTGTGTTTGATAAATGCCAAGGGGTCACAGTGACAGGCAGAAAGGGGTCAAACCTCACACAGAGTAAACAATATGCATGTGGCGTACGTGCAAAGCATGCATTCATTCACTTGTACATGGCTGCAGCCACTGTGTCGGGCAGTGCCGGAGTTCGAGCCGGGGTCAGACGCCGCGGCCACGACCCCATTGTGGGGGGCAAATCCGGTGCTAAGCTGGGGAATAAGTGAAATGCCCTGAGCTCGGCACATGTGGAGGAACACAGTGAGCCACAGCACACACACTCTCATTCACTATATTCATCAGGGAGTGTTGTGAGGTTGAGTTGTTACTATCTCTACGTTTTATTTTGTGTGTGTCTATGACACATATGTCAGTGTGAATGTAAGCAAAGTAATGTCATACACAGCTCCACATTATGTTGAACAAAATCTATATTTTCGATTGGGAAGCTGATTACCTAATATATTCATGATGAGCTGTTATTCTCACACACACACCTGTCGCCTGTTTGCGTCATGATCATGGCCCTTTGAAGGTGTGTTCATCAGACAGCTTTTGGCTGTCTTTGAAATCCTCGTTTGCATGTGTGATGCCCATTAATGAGGAGTCGTCGCATCTTTCATCGTGAGAAGCAGGTGTTGTGGCCTCACTGGGGGCTTCATTTGTCGTGTCTAATCAAAAGGGTTTTGCAGGTTTCCAGCAACATTTCACAAACACTATTAACATATAGAGATTCATCAAGAAAACAGCAAAAGTTTACTTTAGCCAAAGAAAGTTTCATTTAGCTGTTTTCAGTCTGCAGTTGTAAGTCAGAACATGATATAAATGTTTTTTAATGAATCCACAACACCTAATACCTCTAATTCCCCCCATGCAGAAGACAATCTTAATATCTGCCTAAACTTAAAAAAAAAAGGTCTACACTTTTTTGTGTTTTTTTATATTTATCCTCCATCTTAGGCTCTTTGAATTGATTCCCCATTACCATGGCAACAGCGGTGGTGATGATGAATGAACACAAGATAGCTGGACTACTGCTATGTTTGCCATTGTGTCATGAATCCAATAAAGCTGTCACGGTCACAGTCTGTGCTGTGAACTCCAGCTCAGGGGTGAGTCGCTCAGCTCTGCCCTGTGGTGGGCTCATTGCCAGTGTTGTGTGCCGCACTGTCCCTGACCCCGGCCAATGTAGCCCCCGATCAGCTCTATGAGCTCTCCCTGATCTTCTATAGAGCCTCACTGACTGATAATTGGCTGCTAATCCTGTGCACTTCATACCCAGCTCAGTGTAATTCCCGGCATTGTCATGAATATGTAATTGGACAACATGTAGCAAGGGAAGGTCAGTATGATCAATAATACAGCATCCAAAATGTGTTATTGTATGATTTGTTATTTACAGTAATACAATTTGTCCTTAAAATGTAATTTGGTGTCTTTTATATTTTCCTGGTTTAGTATAATATCAGTTTAGCTGCAGAAGAAGACCTATTGTACTTTTATGTACTTTGCAGTTGAGGCTCCATTAGCTTCAGGAGTATAGGAGCTGCTGTCAGCCATTGTACAAATCAAAAGGTTCACTGTATCATAATGTTCTTTAGTTCCAGTCCAGTTGCCAGTTCTAAAAGCACCATTGTCATCCATCCCTAAACACACACATACTGAGGTTCTGGAGGTCCAAAGCACCGAAGAGACCATATGTGTCTCAGGCCTCTGAGTTTCCTCCCCCTGTGTGCGTACCCACCCACTCCTGACACTGTCTCTGGGTCAGCACTTCTGCCATATGCTGCAGGCAGCTCTGCAGTAGGAGAAGTACACACATGCGCATATATACTGCATTTTATTTTGTATTTCAGACTTAATATTTCAGACTTAATATAATTCTTCAGTCCAGTAGTATCTGCATTGCACTGTACACATTTAGTCATTGTTGAAGGAAACTGTGTTTTGCATGATCTTTTTTATTATTATTATTATTATTATTTTATATTTTAGATGTATATACTATACATATATTAATCAAAGCAACCATATTATTTTCATAACTAACAGGTATTCATTTTAGCCAAAGAAAGCATCATTGTATTATGAACCAGAGAGCAACACACGAGCCATGAGAAGGTTATTTATCTGGAAGTTGGGTAATCAACACTTTCTGTCTCAGTAACAAACAGAGAAGATGTTCTTACCTAAGAACTATATCTTATTTGGCTGCATCCTCTATTCAAGGCTACTGTAACACAGACAATTATGAATAAGGGGAATAGAGTTGATTTTCTCAAAAACATCTTTATCCTTATCTGTATCCAAGGACAAGAAAGGCAGGTGTTCTCTGTGGTAGAGGGTTGAAATGCAATGTTTACATGTCTCTAACCAGAAGGTTTCTTTTTGTAATGGCACCATCAAGTGGGTAAAAGTGTAACAGCATAGGATCATGTAACTATGTCCAATCATGAATGCCCCATCGCTCTGGGTGGGACAGTATTACAGAAAAATGGTATTCTGTGGGAAATGTCCAGATTCATTCATTCACACCCTTTGTATTTCAGATTTGTATGTACTTTCCTGCAGTCCGAAGATTTAAACTGTACGAAGTTGAGGAGGTTTTGTTCCTTTGTGTCTCAGTATTTGGTTCCTATGAGCCTGAGAGTGATTGTTTATTGACAGCTGACCAATGCGAAACAGAAAAAACTACAACTTCATGTCTGGATTTAAAAATAAGAACATCATTCCTATTCTGCTTCACCTTCTGACTTGATAATACATCTCCCTATCTCTTGGTATAAAACCATTAGTAGTTTTGTGAGCACAGATTTGCTGAGGTCTCAATATATTCCCACTGCTGCCGCCCTCTGTACTTAGATTTATGACTTTTATGGCTGCTGCCCTTCTCTAATCGACAGTTTGTCTGGTCCAGCATATGCTCATGTTTCTGTCTGTGCACGGCAGGTGACCTGAAATAATGCTCTTTCTAGGAGCCGGAGTGTGCTGACTCACTGCTTTTAACATAATGAAATTATTTTAGAAACTTCAATAAAGAGTTTTAAATACTCTCTGGCACGGATTTAGGTCATGAACTAAATTCCTCTTCCCTGTTTCTTTCCCCGTTGCACCCATCTTTCTCCCCCTGCTTTTGTCTTTTCCTCCCTTTTGTTTCTTTGCTCCAGAGTAACGAGATGCTGGAGCTACAGAGGAGCAGGATGAGGGAAGAGATCAAGGAGTACAAGTTCAGAGAGACCAGGCTGCTCCAGGATTACACAGAGCTGGAAGAGGAGAACATCACGCTGCAGAAACTGGTGTCCACGCTCAAGCAGAGCCAGGTCAGTGTGGAGACCTTTTTTATTGCCTTAATACATTTCTCAACTACACCACACACTTTTTTGTCCCATACAAACTTTGTCCCGTACAGATTCGTCATCACTTTTAATGACGAGATACCAACCTCCATACCAGTTGAGGTTAATGACTCATTCACAATCTTCCAGTATCACTCCCAAAACCGCCTTTGAATGCAGTGCCCTTTATGTTTTGAGTATCAGTTCCAGGATGCACTGATCAAACTGTTGGCTTATCTAGTTGCTCATCATCCTTTATTTCCCTTAAGGAGCTACAGTATCCCTTGTCCAATTACACAGAGCAAAAATCTAATACCTGTGCTGGGCCGGAGTCGATTAAGCTCATAAATCCATATAAAATCACTCTGGTGATGTAAGACTTAGATATTGTTGGTCTTACTGTAAAGGTTACGTCAGCGTAAGTGACTAAGTTAACTGAAATAAATAAATGCCTTTACCTGCTTTGTGATCAAATCTATTTTGACCACATTATCCAGGTTCATCACCATTCATAACCAAAATACCATATTGTCACATTATAAATCTCCTAAGTCACATGTAGTGTGGTATTTGAATTAAGTGTCACCTGGCTCTAAAATCTTTCTTTTCAATTGAAAACAAGGGGAAAATACTTGTCTTCAGGGTGCTTTTTTGTAACCCTTTTGACACAATTTTTTTTAGTTTTACTCGCACCGTCCTTACATTCCCTCTATTCTGACCTGCGATTGGGTCACCCAATCCTCAACAAACATGATTGTTGTGTTTTATAATCTAAGAAATTAAATTACTTAAAATATTCCTCTACTCTTGTGTTCTTACTTGTCCCTTTCTGCTTCTCCTCAGGTGGAGTATGAGGGACTGAAACATGAAATTAAGGTACTAGAGGAGGAGACGGTTCTCCTCAACAGTCAGTTGGAAGATGCATTACGTCTGAAGGACATTTCTGAGGGTCAGTTGGAGGAGGCCCTGGATGCCCTTAAGAGTGAGCGCGAGCAGAAGAACAACCTGAGAAAGGAACTGGCCCATCACATCAGCCTGAGTGACAGCGTCTACGGAGCAGGGGCCCATCTGGCGCTCACCGTCACCGGTGTTGAGGGCCTCAAGTTCCCAGAGGAGACCAACGGAACCAACGGCACCAACGGCGTCATCCCTGCTGCTAATGGCAACAATGAGGACAGCAACCGCCGCAACGGCCACGTTCACACTGGCACCGGAATGGCTAAGATGAATGGAGACTATCGACCAGGCCGAAAAGGAGAAGGCCTGCACCCTGTGCCGGACCTCTTCAGTGAGCTCAATCTATCAGAGATGCAGAAGCTCAAACAGCAGCTGCTACAGGTGGGTCATAAGAAAAGGCCTTACAGCAGGGTCGGTAATTCAGACCACCGATAATAAACCAACCAGTGTTGCTGCTTGAAAGCACTTATTCTTTCTTCAGCTTTTTATATCATTGAATGTTCCTTTTCAAGGCCAGTACTGAGATCACGCTTTAAATCTTCTATCAACACTAACTCCAAAACAGTTTAACACAGAGGGGTGAAACCAGCAACACGCAGCACATTAGAAGACGACTATATCGATTTCCCGTGGTACAATTGAGTTTTTAGTGTGCGAGTGTGCAAGTTTTTCAGTGTGAGGTGTTCACTGATGAAAGCAGCCGAGGTCACAGTTTGCTATTGCTAAGAGCAAGGATATGACAAGGTGATGACAGTTTGGGAACAAGAGAAAAAATGGAACACACACGCCACATAATACAGGCTTCACTGATGAATACAAGTAATAACACTGAAACAGCTTTTAAACCATATTGACAAAGTACATCTACTGAAACACATAATGTTTTAATTATGTTGGCAGTAACAGACCACAAGCATGTGTATTTGAGCCTGTATGAACTGTATATCATGTGTTAAGTGTATATAATTTATGTTTTCAAATGTGCCTCAGTGGGAGTCATGAAGCCAAATAGCACAGCAAAAAGAGTCCACCAGGAGAGGCAGTACATTTGCGCGTGCTATAGGGGGCTCTGTCAGGGTGATTAGCGCCCGATAGGCGTGGGGAACAGATGCAGAGACAGAAACTGACTGTGTCTACTTTTAGGTTGGAGACAAGGGAGCAGAAATAGAGCCCTAAGACGGAGGGAAAATGCACAGTACGCTTACATTTATACCACGGTTAGTTCCAAACTTGCACTGTAAGCTCCATATACAGTGACCAGAGAGTATACATATAGAGCTTATATATTATATAGCATAGGATACTACTATACTACTTACTCAACTACTTACATGAACAGGCACCCCATACCCAAGGAATACATACAGTATTTTGAGAAATCATAGGTAGATTACGTTCAAGCTATTATCTAGTTAAGTCATAACTGCACATTTTTGCCCTGGCTGAGCCCCTCGGGGAAATAGAAAATTACATTAGTGGCTGTTATATTAGCTGTGTGCCTTTCTCCGTAAACACAATTACTCTCTAATCAATTTTCTCTTTCCAGTTGATTATTCTGGGAAAGATCTAAATGCCGGCAGCATGAGGCTTCTAATTGCTAGTGGAATTTTGCAAAATCAATTTTGCCTTTCTCAATATGGACACTGTGAAAGCACATTCACAATTAAATTTTATCTGACAACCCAGGCATCAGTTATCCTTTGAACATGTTAAACGTATCTATTTCTTAAGCCTTCTTCTGCGATTGTGATCACCGGTATCGAATCCCCTTTAAGATCTTCTGTTTGTGTATGAAGCACTGCATGGTCTCGCCCCAAGCTATATCACAGAAGTCCAATCCCCATACAGTACAGCTAGTCCCCTTAGATCCACAGATCGAGGGCTGTTAACTATCTCTCGATCTCACTGAACACATTTAAGAGACAGAGCCGTCTCAGTAGCTGCACCAGGACTGGGGACTCTTTTGAGATGCCTTAAGACCCTTTTTTACCTCTCTTTACTACGCCTACAATGACTCTTGACATGATTTGCATTCCGCACTGCTGAATGTCTGTATGTGTGCATGTACTTATGTCTCATTGTTTGTTGTAAAGCAGCTTGTCTCAAACCATGGCTTGCTTTTGAAAGCACTCTATAAAAAGATTTGACCTTTAAGCGCAGAGGCACAAGCGCACGTAAATGGACTTTATGGGATTACAGATCAATAAACAATTGAGCAACACTTAATTTCAGTTCCCATTTTCCTTATCAACAGGCTTTGAGTGGCGGCAAACCACATGTAATATAGACACAGAAATACAGATCAACTGATATGATACATTCTTAGTCCATTTGTTTTATCACTGCCCATTAATGATGGTTACGTGTTACATTGTCTTTATCTTTATTAGCCCCTTAATGTTATGAAGTTGTGAAAGATCTTATTGATTATATATGTGTATATATATATGTAACTGACCCTGCTATACTGTAGCTTTTATCTGCAGCGTCTGGATATCCCTTTAATTTAATGAGGGGATATAACACATTTTGTTCTGTTAACATGACAGAATACATTAATGCAGAGTATAATATAGAAATATAGTAAAGTATAAAGTACAAAATAATAAAAGTTACAGACCTTGGACTGTTTTGGCTGCCTCTCACGTGGCAGTGTATCCTCCCGTCCTGCAGGTGGAGCGTGAGAAGGCGGCGCTGCTCATGAACCTGCAGGAGTCACAGACCCAGCTGCAGCACACGCAGGGCGCCCTGACCGAGCAGAACGAGCGCGTCCACCGCCTCACGGAGCGCGTCAATACCATGAAATGTCTCAATGGGGACAAAGAGCTTGACGACCCACAGGAGAGCGAGAAACCTGATGGTGGCTCCTTCTCACCACCAGCCAATGGTCACCACGATCCTGACATCCATGGGTTCGAGATCCTGGAGTGTAAGTACAAGGTGGCGGTGACGGAGGTGATCGACCTGAAAGCAGAACTCAAGGCCCTGAAGGAGAAGTACAACCAGGCTGTGGAGGGGCAGGGAGAGAACCACAGTGACGACAGGGTCCAGGCACTGAGTGAACAGGTTTGTCATCGTTATATGCATATTTTATTACAATTGTAACATTGACTTTTGCAACCAAATATCTGTTTGGTTATAATATATTTTTTATTGGACAATATTCACTTCACTGTGTTGCATATGTCCCACTGATTTCTTCCAAGCAGGTAACTCATTTGGAGCGTAGTTATCGTGAGAGCCGGGAGAGGGTGGCAAGCTTGGAGGCAGAGCTTCGGGCCTCTGCGAGCACAGCCACAGAGAGCCAGGGCATGCTGAATGCAGCACAGGATGAGCTTGTAACCTTCAGCGAGGAACTGGCACAGCTCTACCACCACGTCTGTCTGTGCAACAACGAGACACCCAACCGCGTCATGCTGGACTACTACCGCCAGAGCCGCGTCACACGCAGTGGCAGCCTGAAAGGCTCAGACGACCCCCGGGCTTTGCTCTCGCCTCGCCTGGCACGACGCCTCGCTGCGGCATCTGCAGCCTGCTCCTCTGAGCCTCCACGTAGTCCCATGGACTCCCCATCCAAAGATGCCCATCATAGTGAGACAACAACCAACACAGTGGACTCTTCATCCTGCCATAGCAGCCCCACCCGCAACCCCACGGGCTCCCCAGTCATCAGCATCTCTCCCTGCCCATCTCCAGTACCCTCCGAGGCAGGTGGGGACCTGCGGAAGGAGCCCATGAATATCTACAACCTGAACGCCATCATCAGAGACCAGATCAAGCACCTTCAGAGGGCTGTTGACCGCTCACTGCAGCTGTCCAGGCAGAGGGCTGCAGCCAGGGAGCTGGCGCCTATGCTTGACAAGGACAAGGAGTTGTGCATGGAGGAGATACTCAAACTCAAGTCCCTGCTCAGTACCAAGAGAGAGCAGATAGCTACACTCAGGCTGGTGCTGAAGGCCAATAAACAGGTGAAAATATAAATTATTCTACCTAATATACCATGAAACATTTAATAAATTGAAGAAAATGATGCAATATCTCAAGTGTACCTGAATTGGTGATAAAACCTGAAATAATCCACATTGCAGACAGCAGAGGGTGCACTGGCAAATTTGAAGAGCAAGTACGAGAATGAAAAGGCGATGGTGACAGAGACCATGATGAAGCTGAGGAACGAGCTGAAGGCTCTAAAAGAAGATGCTGCCACCTTCTCGTCTCTCAGGGCCATGTTTGCCACAAGGTGAGAGGGGAAATAGGTGGCAATGGAGCTGGGAAAGTGAAATTTGTAACTTTCCTTCAAAAATAAATAGTACTTGTGTTAGAAGTCTCCCACTAAATCTTTGTTTCTTCCCCCTCTGCCATTTTCTCTCTCTCTCTCTCTCTCTCTCTCTCTGTAGATGTGATGAGTATGTTACCCAGCTGGATGAGATGCAGAGGCAGCTGGCGGCAGCAGAGGATGAGAAGAAGACACTGAACTCCCTCCTCCGTATGGCCATCCAGCAGAAACTGGCCTTGACCCAACGGCTGGAAGATCTGGAGTTTGACCATGAGCAGACCCACCGCGGCCGCGGCGCTAAAGTGCCCAAGATAAAAAGCAGCCCACCCAAAGTAAGTCGCAGAGGCGCCTTCACAGCTCCCTCCAGCCCCACCAGGCTCCACAGCCACTCCATTATCACCACCCACACCCTGAACACTTCCCTGACCCTCCGTAGTCCTCCCTCTGTAGAGCTAACCGCCTGTCCGTCCATGTCTGCGTGGACTTCAGACACACTTTCCGAAACAATCCAGACCTCAACCCTGCCTGACATCAGTTACCACAGTTTGTCTCTGGGCACCCAGCCCAACGTGATAGACCCTGAGTGGCTAACCTTAGAGTTCAGACGACTCATTTATTCAAGACAAGACATAGGTCAACTGTCCCCATCTCACAGCCCCAGCACCCCTGTCTCAGTATCTCCTCACCTTCGGCGGAGGCGATAAATCATCATCATCTCCACACCCAGCACCAATTTCCGCTATTTACACAGTTACCAGAAGCCTCTGGATTAGGTGGGATACAGAGAGGAGGAAAAACTGGTTTCACATGACTATAATTTGAACATGCAGAAATACTCAGGAAGAAGGAGCCCCGTCCTCATCTTCAAAGCAGCACTGAACAGCCTTTTTGTTATTGTTAAGGTTGATATAATGTTGGACTGCAGAGAATTGAACAAGTTTGTTATCAGGCATCTTTCTGTGTACATGAATAGCTGCTAACATAAAATGTGGCATTATGTATCACTTAGATATAGCACTGGGAGGTGTTTCAAAGTGAAAGCAAAAAATGGTTGCAGCATTTGCTTCAGCTTACAGAGACTCACAGCACCTCCCTGTGGCAGGCTCCAGGAAATACATATTATTGTGTTTTGGGTTATTTTTGCATTTTTACTCAAATGTAATTTATCTTAATATATATTATAGTAATATTATCTATTCCATTACGAATGAACTAATATATGTTGTAAATAATATTTCCTCAAGTTAATCTTTGCATGCCTTATTTTTGTCACAACTAAAGTTCTGTCAAAAAGCATTTGACAGGCTTACCGACTGTTTCATGGTTAATGTGTTGTCCAGAGTAGTATAGAAACCAGTCAGACCTCCTCTCTGTGCCTCAACCTCGCATTTGATTGTCTCCAGTTCACTTCTCCTCCTACCCCACTAAACCGAATCCATTTATTCCTCCACTGATGGCCATTCTTGACAAACCTCTCTCACAGTATTCCCAGTTTTGTCCACCAGATGGAAGTGTCTGAACACATTTCTATTATCTCTCCTGTCAAATGCTGTTTGACCTCTCTCTCTGTCCCTTATTCTACCTCAGATCATTGTATATATGATAAGTGGAACAGCTTAAATAAAATTGTAAGTTATTAAGAAATCAAATAAGCAAACAACTTTTAAATGGAACTTACCAGCATGACTGGTGTGGACTTAAACTAGAGTTCATGAATATAATTGAGCAATAAGCAGCAGGTATTCTGGAGTTGAGCAGTATTGGATTGTTCAGCATTAGCCCCACTGTGTCTGTCCTGCTCTTTTTGTGCTGTAAATCAATACAGTATTGGATTTTGGAAGTGTGTGTGTGTGTGTGTGTGTAAATTGTGTCCGTGTCTCTGTCTCTTAGGGTGCTTTGTGTTTTCCACCTCCAGTGCTGATTGTCTAGCTGTGCAGAGACTGGTCCTGTCAGTGTGGTCAGATGAAACTGGTTTACAATATTAGTTACATTTACACCGATGCAAGCATGTACTGTAATTGGCATTCAGTGAAGGCAGTCACTTGCGTTACACAAGTATTTTCTTCTGCTTCTTCTGCTCCTTTACTCATTTCTTCTCTTTTCTCTCAGGTATCTCTTCCATTTACATTGTGAACCACTGATTTCCACAGCAGGAGAATTGCATTACATGATTATCTCCTATATTATGCAAAGTAATAAGTAGCATTGTGCTTTAGTAGTGTCACAAGAACAACTGTTTACAGGATCAGACTGGAGATATAGTATAGAAAATCAAAGCTTATAGCAGTAAACCAGTTATTCTCTGACAAGGCCTTCCCCTGTCTTTTCTTCCGTGTTTTCTCTGTCCTATTAACTAACCCTGAGTGTCACCACTCTGTATATCTGTCTAATTTATCAGTTTCTTGTAGATTGTCAGCAGCCTGCTGCCTCAGTACCGTCACTTTCCCCACAACTAAGGCGAGGGAGAGCCTCCCTAGCCCGCAGGTAACAAGCTGTAGAACCTGCTAGTAGTAGGCTCATTCAAATCTACCTACTATGTATGTCTATTTCTCTTATTACACGCCACAAAATTGCAGTTGCAGCTAATCACATTCTATTTAATACTCATTAGACTTTTCCCCATCTTTTTGTAGTTGCACACCTGCATCTGTAGCACAAGATAAATGGGTTTGCATGCTCTCACTGCATTATAATATGTGATTACAAGAAATGAACAGGTTATGGGTGAGAACGTTGCATACATAATTAATATCCTCTCTCTGGGCGGAGGGAGTGGGGATTGTTTTTTACTTTGCATGTACAGTTTTGCATGGCTCTTTTCTATACATGCTTTTACTGTATATATATTTAATGTCAACCCTACCTTTCTTTTTTGCTATTGAAAAAAATGTATTAATTTATTAAACAAAAAACTAGTTTGAATGTTAAAGATTAACCTTGGATGTGTTTTATAGTTTTTTTATTTTACAGAACTTTTATCCTGGAAGACGTTTTGACTTCCAGGGCAGGAAAAGCACAAAAAAGCGATGATAAAGCCATGCGAGTTATACTAGCTATAATTAGCACATATGTTGCCAGTAATGTTTGAGGTCACCAACAGACTGGGCATCAAGGTGTGAGTCTTTATTTGTGTCAATGAACTGATACGTTCACAAGACAAATAGGACACTGCTGACAGATCTGAGGCCATGTTTAGCATTGTGCTGGTCAGCCTGTCTCTCCAACCCTGTTTTATTCTGTATTTTGTTCTCACCAAATACTTTGTCTTGAGGTATGATACGATCAGCCCTTCCCTGGTCGGCTGGTGGTTTTAAAAGAATAGTTTCACTTTTAGGAAAGATGTTTATACGTATGTTGAGCCAAACATTAGCAGCCAATGGGGCACATGGTAGCTCACCTGGTAGAGTATGTGCCCCATGTTGTCCTTACCGCAGCAACACAGGTTCAATTCCAAATCCCACAAAATATCTTTAAAAAAGATTGGAAACTAGTGGAAACAGCTAGCCTAGCTCTGTCCAGAGGTAACAGCTGTTCATCTCTTGGCTCGGGGCATTGACTCTCGGAGTCTCCGCTTTTGATGGAGCCGAGCTAGCTGTTTGTCTTTGTGCTCAGCTAAGCTAAGCTAAGTTGTTGCTCGCAATAGCTTTATGTTTAATGTACAGACATGAGAGCAAATAAGTATATTTCTTAAAAAGTTACTTAAACTTTTCCTTTAATAAAACCATGTCAGTATTTTTGCCCTCATCACGTTATATTTTTCTTGTTGATTTGGTGTAATCGTATTCTTCCAACAACTGCCCTTAGATGACCAGTCTTTTTCTCTCAGTCTTATTTATTCTCTTCTCCTGTCTTTATGCATTCTTACAGTCCTAAAATTTTGGCAGACCTCCAGGAACACCACGCTATCCTGTCCGGCAACAATGGCCTTCTCTCCCCCTGCGACCCTCGTAACTGTCTGGCCCAGCAACCCCAGCCCCCCGGCACCTAACCTCGCCGCTCCAGCCCAGGCCCTGGCCTCGGTCTTGAAGGAGTCATTCAGAGACACAGACACTCTAGACGGGGGTTCCCTCAGATTAACTTCCCCCAACCTAGCAGTCCAACCTGGTGCTTACTGAACTCTGTGACCCTCACCCAAGCGCTACATGGTCCGGCCCTCGGCAGGCCTCCTGGTTACATCGGTCGCAGAAGAAGAGCAGGACGCTCTCTCCTTCCCTGAAACTGACATCCTGTCCTGGAAAAGGACTTATCTGAGGCGCAAAATGAGGGACAAATCATGGGAACCTTTTCCCTTATTCGTACTAGTATTTATTTATAATTTATTTCCTCTATTGATTATTTATTTACATATTGATTTGTGACAAGTTTCTGAGATATTTATTACTGGAATGTTTTTTCTGTGTTTGTTGGTCATTCTTTAAGATGGAAATCGAGACAGGTTTTACTGCTGTGGTGAAGACAACCAAAAGCAAAAAGTTCTTTCTGGTCTAGTGAACAGGTTTAAAAATTGCCTAACCATACTATACGGCATTTAAAATGTTAGATTTTGTTAGTATAATAATAAAGATGTATGCCATTTGTACAATGGAGTGTATACTGGGTTTGAAATTGCAAACAGACTAATGAAGGTAAACATTTTATTACAAGGAAATTGTTTCTTGTGGTGGTGATGGGTGGATTTCAACTACCTTTCTAACGTCACTAGTCTTTCTTGGGATGCTTGTGTTTTTTTATACAAAGAATTTTTTTTGCAAATCATGTGCATAAAGACTATTTTATACCTCCTATTATTTTTATTTATTTTTAAAGCTGACATGGTTGTGTCTGTTATGTAGCTCAGATCTCTTCAGAGACTGGGACAAACGAGAGGCGGGGTGTTTGAGATCATGACTAGGGCTGTTGGCCTGAGTTTTTGCCTTTTGAATTGCACAGGTTTTAAGTGACCATAGAGTGAACTGACCTCCACCTTTTTAATATTAGTTAAGAACAGAGGATTCCCCCAAGGGTGTGCCTCTTCTTGAGTTGCCGTCTCTGTCATGTCAACATTATATTCTCACCATGAAGTATCTGTGTGAGCTCTTTTCTGTGAGCTCTTTCACTGTATTGGTCACAACCCCAGAAAAATGTTATTATGACCCTTAGTTTCTCCTACAATGACAGTGACAGAAATGTTAATCAAATTTACATCCTCAGTATCCCAAGCTACACTTGTTTGTTATCGTCACATCTCCATTTTTATCTGTCTCCACATGCTTCCTCCAAATTGTATGCAGTACTGTCCAAGCACAATTATGCATCTAGCAATACAGTAGCACTGGTCTGTAAACTGATCTGAATATATTTACTTAATCTGTCAACCATTTCTGTCACTATGAACTAACCAGCAGGCTGACAAGAAAGGCAAGATAGCAGAAGTGTCCCCAATTTTCTAAAAAAAGAAAAAAGAAATGGGGACACACACTACTGTCAATTTTCTTTGACACAGTTATTGTTTCTTTTTGAAACACTGTATTGATCACAGAGGAATGGGAATAAGTCAAACCGAGATGGATGTAATGTGTGGCATTTGTTGCATAATTGAAGTCCCATCTCTCTCTTTACACCCTCATAATGTCTTTAACATTAATGTTCTCCTCACTGCACTGAATACATACTTTTGTCAGATGGGAATGAAACAGATAAACTGAAACTACATAGCCAGTATAGTTGTTGTAATGACAGATAAAAGCATTTCTCCTACATCAGCGATGAATGAGTGGACTCTGTCTGTTCTCTGTGTGTACATGTGTTGGATTTGTCTTTGTTAACAGTGTGTATTGTTACTTTTGCAACTACAGAGTGATAAAAAAAAATATGTGTGGTCCAAAAGTAGCTTCTGAACCCATGCAGGCTCATTGGTGACCTAACTCTCTTGGTTTGTTTGCACAATATAGCAAAGTTAATGGAGAGAGACTAATCGAATGAAACAAAAAAAACTGAAAAAACCTGGTTTAAAAAGAACTATAGCTGTATGCTGTACTACAGTGGGTTTACAGTTTCTCCTCCATTTAAAACAGTGTTTAATTGGTTTCACAAGTAAATAAAAGACCTGTCCTTGGATTTGTATGTGACTTTGTGTTTGTGTCTGTTTCTCCATCTCATCATTTTAATGAATTAGGCAGAAATGAACTTTCTGTAGCCATATATTCACATAGAAAAAACACAATTATTTATTATATATAAAACAGCTCCAGTGAGATTAGACATTGATTCAGGCCTCAAAACATCCAGTCATATGAAATACTTCTCAATTATCAACCAAATAACTATGATGAGGTCGCATGTATTACATTTGAATATAACATAAAGCAATATATTGTATAGACCCTGTGTGAACTGCCAAAAGCCTTGATGAACCCAGCTGGTTTATTATTATTATTATTATTATTATTAGATTTGTTCACAGTTATAACGTCCCCATTAATATGATTTGGTATTCTGATTTTGGCCAGTCATGACTGTGATTATCTCATAATTTTAACTTACCTACATGTGACTTAATGGGTCACAATGTTTGTATAATGTCTCATGAGTTATTAACATCTTAAAATATCCAATAAGTACATATAATAATTATGATTATTATTATTTAATTATAAATCTGAGTATGTCTTAAATAAGAACTGATGTTGACTTAAGTCAGTTACAGATTCTAAGAAAAGTCATCTTGAAGCCCAGCTAATAAAGATTATAAAAAATTGTGATGTAGAGTGATTTTTATTTTTGTCACATTTTGTTTTCTTTATGTGTGTTACTGGTGGGTTACTTTATTCATGGGGTTCAAAAACCAGGATCCCACAATACCTGTGGGGTGCAACAGCTTTGTGGAGACAAAAATACTGGACCCCACAGGTTGGGGGGTGTAAAGACAGGTCCCCATGAATATAGTAACAAAGAAGAGTGTGTGTCTGTGTTTGTGTGAGAGTTTGAGTGTCTATGGCTCCATGGCCAACAGTATGGACATTGTCTCGGTGTAATAATTAGGAGGTCTTCACCACCAGTACGTACTGAGGGGAGAGAAGGGCGGGGCTTAAGAAAACACCCCTGTCAAGGTGACATTGCTCGGAGGAAAGTGGGTGATACGGATCCAGCGGACAAACGCGTACAGCTGTTTGTGTGCTGTCAGCTTACGTTACTTATTGACCTGCACAGGCGCACATGGGCTGCTGCCGCGCAGCTAGGCGCGGTACTGAGTTTGGTTGCAAGGAGAGAACCAGGTTTCTTAAACTTTATTATTATTTCCGATCACTTTGAATGCGTTTCACTTTAGTGTCTCAATGCTGGAGCGGCCACTGCCTCATAAGAGAATGGAGAGCTTTAACAGAGTCGCTTTTCGCAGGAAACAAGGAAGTCTGGACACTGTGCATCCAGAAGGAGCAGGTGAGTGGTTAAGGAATGCTGCAACTACACTTTATTACAAAAACATACTATCCCGAAACTAATGCAAGAAATTCAAAGTGATCCTCCCATACAGTACATTATGGAATTTTACAAACTATTATAAAAAAACAGTGCTCCTTAATACCAATAACATATCATTTGTAATCACACTGTAAGTCTTATTTGGGCTGATTTTGCCTACTTATTACATATCATTGCATATTTTCTGTGAGCCTCTATGGGAAGTTCCTTGTAGCCTACATTCTTGTTAGCAACTCCATCTTAGAGGACGAGTACAAATCTGGAGAATTATTGCAGGCAATAAAGTCTTAAATTGGCTTGCTGGTGACTCAGTGTTATGACTTGTTGGCTGTTACAGGTCTTCTATTAGCCATCATGTGTTTTTGTCAGTCTGGTTGGGAAAGCATGGAATGGCCTGACTGTAACACACCTACATTATAGCCCTTGTTTACACTCCACCGCTGACTTACTGGCTGCTCAGCAGGTATGAAGGTATCAGAGGCAAGCCCCAGCCTGTCTACATGCTGGAGGGCACTTTTTTTTCATTCTGGAAAACACCACTCCATAGGAAGTCCTAGAACTTTGTCTGCTTAGGAAGATACAAAGATAAACTATCTGACCTGTTTCTCTGCAGTTCTGTATCTCAGTTTTTAAAGCCCGATCAAAAACTCAAAAAGTCTTGGGATCTGTTTCCGTGCAGGTTTCCAGATGGATCTTTGCAGAGCCGCAGCCTGGCAGCTGTAACTGAAAACTTGCCCATGCTTTAAATCTGATTAAGCAATCTTTATTTCTCAAAAAAAATGGGATCCAAATACATGTCAGCACTCCTGTGCACTGTCTGGGCATGAACCACTGAGACAGGAGGTGCTCGCACGGCTTCGTCTTATCTTGCAATTCTGTGGAGTGCTTGTGCAAACATGCAGCTGTGGATATGGTTCTGTATCTGCAGTTTGATGTGAACTTTACCCTATGGTTGTTAGTGCCAGTGAAGGTGTATTCAGACCATAGGGTGTGTGTCAGCAGTCAGCCCCAGTCACACATATCAGGGAATGAGGTGTACCTCAGGAAGTGAGGTAAATATGAGAATACCTACAGATGTTATCTGTGACTGAATCACTGGGTGTTAGCAATACTGGAGTCAAATCTACATAGATTATATTCATCATAATGTGCCCCCAGTGTTGCACAATGCCTGTCTGGTAAAATACTGTACAACGTAAGGAATGTTTTATGCTTTGGCCGGCAATAAGAAAGAATGCAGTATTGAATCCAAGTACTGAGATTTATGTATAATACTGACTAAAGTGAAATTCGGGCCAATAGCTATGATTGTTTAACTCTGTTAGGATGGCTGTTTTCTTCAGAGGCTTCTTTAGATTTGTGTTTTCTATCATAGATGTACATCTTCTACCTTCCTCACAGCTCCAGAAACCATTTCCCCATGGTCATCCCATTTGTTTTGGCTACCCAGTCTGAATGGCAGTCCCACTGTCTCATTACTGAGCTATTGCAAACATATCTGTCATGCTGTTTTTGTAGAAATCAGATTGACTTCGACATGAACCGCGGTTGATTTTAAAGTGAAAGCACTGAATAAAACAAATAAGTATAACCTGATATCCCCTGCCACGGTTAAAAAGTCATTTATTCCATTTGACTTGGTTCAATACAACTCTTAATGATCCAGCATTTTTTAATGTGACTGGCTTCCCATATTCCCATATTTCTTGGGCCGCGTATGTGACTCTAATTGAGAAACAGAATTACGCTTATAACGATCTTTGTGCTCTAGTTATTTTGCTTCTCTCTGTTTTGATCCATTCCTCTTGGACAAATATTTAGGAAGCAGTAAGTCAGTCTGTAAGTCTCTTGTCCTTTCAGCCCAGTCATCTTTGAGTGTAAACTACAATTCATTATTATGCTGTCGGCTCAGAGTTATGTTGTGCAAATGTGTAATATGATTATCAGCACTCTACTCTCTTCAGATACCGCCACAGACTTCAAAGAGGTCTATTTGTTTCTGTGTCTCTTGGCTGTGATGTTTAGTTTGCAGTAAGCAGGAACAATCTGCTTTCTCTGAAAAAAATTGCAAAGAAATAATGGCTTCATAAACATCACACCCAAGTTTCCAAGTATCTCATTATAGCTCAGACGTGGAGTGAAATTTATTTTGTGTTTATAGCACAAATAGCTTGGGGGGTCAGCTGTGTCTGCCTCCAACAATGAATCTGTTTGTTTTATGTTTGCTAAGATAGCAGCAGGGGGACTGTATGAATCAGATGCTGTGTGGCCTGCAAGCCTACTGCTTCTGGTATTGTTTTGCTGCACTGGTGCCCATTCAGCCTGAACTGAACCCTCTCACTGTCCTCTGCTGGCTTTAACTCACTACAGGCAATAGTGGTTCCCTTGTGCAGCTCAGTTCATGATGCTTAAAGATGATTACTTTTTATATGCCGTGCATTGCTGTACCACATCAATCTAAACTACCCATTAGCTCTGGGTATGGAGAGGCATTGCTTCATGTGTGATATTTGAATTCTCACAGGTCAATTAGAAATATTTTACCTTTCCCCCCACTGAACATAGCAGAAGATTCATCTTCTCAGAAAAGACATGCTGAGAATAAAGAATTAATATTTGTCCAGGTTCCACGACCAGAAACTTCAACCAACTGTATATGCCTTTGTAAATTCAGTTCTTACTATTCTGTAAACCTTTTGCACTCTATATCAGACTACCAAAAACAGCCTCTAGGTTATTGCAATTGTCATGGAGAAACTAACTATGGAGAAAGTAACTCTAAATAGAAGAGTTATTTCCTTATTTCCCTTTCAACGTGTGTAAGAGAAACCACCGTGGCCACAAAACGCATGAATACCTTGGTCCAGACATGAGACGGTAAATAGGAAGTCTAATAGAGGCTATCAATAAGTGAAGCTATCAATGTGTTGTTCTTCATCACTGCAACTCACTTAAAGTACAATCACAAGTGACTATGGTGTATATTGTTGGCATATGTACAAACTATGATAAATGCAAGTTGAATAGGTTTCCTTAATACACGGGTGCACAAAGCCAAAAGCCATAAACAAATTCAATATCTTGCCTAGTGAATATTGATCTTTGTTAATACCTAACTTCTTATTACATTAGGGGTTGCAGAATGGCTTCATTTCCTTCCTTGAATATTTTCCCTGTGTTTACTCTTTGTCTAGTAGAGATGTCTCAGACTGGGGTTTATTAGTTTGCTCAGTTGATAATTGCAGTTGGTGTGGGCTGTAGCAGGAAGTGGCTAATACCTGTGTGTTTGTGTAATTTTCCTCAGAAGTTGCACACACACATGCTCTTACAAAGACCTGTATTTAGGGTCAAGTTTGAAGTTTGCAAATGTTCCAGTAGGTGGAGGTAAATGCTCAGAAATGTGTCACCCTTCTAGCAGCACTTGGGCCCTCATGCTGAGTGTGTGATGTGGACACATGCAGAGTCATGTACTCCTTCACAACAAAGCAACCATCCAAATGTACTATATCCTGGCATGACACTGTGCTGTTGCTCCCAAATCAATTAGAAAACATTCAACAGTTAACACTTTTGTTAGATTGTCAAGAGCCCCTTCCATTTGAAAGTAGGTTGTGGTGCTCTTTTCATTATTTCATTTTGACACACAAGT